TTTTTTTTTTTTTGAGACATTGAGACTAAGTCTTACTCTATTATCCCAGGCTAGAGCTCCTGCCTACTGTAGTGTCAGCCTAGCTTACAGCAACCCCAAACTCCTGGGTTCAAGCATTCTGCCTTAGCCGCCCAAGTAACTGGGACTACAAGTGCCTGCCACAGGGCCCAGCTAATTTTTTCTACTTCGAGTAGAGATGGGGTCTCACTCTTGCTCAGGTTGGTCTCAAACTCCCTCCCAAAGCACTAGGATTACAGGTGTGAGCCACCATGCCTGGCCTATGTGCAATAGTTCTAAAGGAAGGTTTTTCTTAGTTAAGTCAAAAGTTAATCAGTTTCTACAGCTTTGAATCTGTGGGACAAAAAGAGTCTGAATGCCAGAAAGGAGATTTTTCACATAGAGGGGCTTGAGTTCTTTGTCACAGGGGATTAGATAAGATTAGACTGATGGAACTTAGTCTTTAGAAAGTCAGACTGATTGTTACTATAACCCTATCATCTCTGTCTGTCTAATAGTTCATAATTAAAGACGTTCTTTATGAATGTGATTTTATCTGTTTTCTGTGTGTTTTGCACGAGTTGTGTTTATGTGTGGTGGTGCTAAATGATCAGTGTTCAGGCAGAGGAACAGGCTTGGAATGTGCAGCTGCTTTTAACTTACCCTCCAGGATAATATATTCCTGGTCTGACAGAAATCAAATATACTGTACAAGAATGACCTTGTTTCTTCATGATTTTTCTTCTATATTAAAAAAACAACAACAACACAAAAAAACAAGAACAAAGAGGTAGTGCTTTATCAGGTTATAAATCTAAACAGAACATGCCTTTGGTGTGTGCATTGCCGCATATTCTGTTGCAGGAATGACATTAGTCTTGCTTTGTGCTTCCTGTTATTTCGTTATCTCTTAAATTTGAACAAATACTGTAGATTTATAAAAGCCTGGAAGAGGAGAGATGTATAGTTGCTTAGCTAACATTTCAACTCAAAAATAAACGTCCATGGTCGTTCTGTACTAGGGTTCTTTTTAATAAGTGAGATAAGGTTAGTTAGTATGATTATAATGTTTTTCTTTAACATTCCAACTAACTCATATCCGTTCGAGTGACCACTTTTCCCCCTGAATTGACTGGGCAGTTTTCCAGCAGGAGAGTTTATTTCAAAAGGTCCTCCTGATTTCCTGAAAATACACCCGTCTGTGACATGATTCATTCTGACACATTCCTGTCTTCCTGCATTTAAGACTTCCTTTGCTCTAGGAGATGGACCCCAGAAACACTCTCAAACACAGGGAATGTGGAAAAGTGTCCTTTACCAAACAGACAGGCTGGAGCACTCTAGGGATTGGGAAGGAGGTGCTTTCCATCTCTGGAATTCCAGTGGCCTTTTTAGTGTGTAAAGTGGGACCGACTGACCCACAGGGCATGGTGCAAAGGCTCATTTGTTTGTTCAGGCTTTCCCCTGAAAGGGAAGATGTTAGTATTTGTTCTGGGCCTGTTCGTTTATTTGACTGATTCTTTGTCTCTTCGGCATTGTTTTCCAATTGTGGAAATGCATCCAGAAGTTTCCCCATCGGGGATAGGATTTTCTAAGTTGGAGTATAACTAACATATGTGGTAGGCTCTTATTTATTTTCTTTGCTGCTGCATAGAGAAAAAGGAATATTTGTGTTTCTACGGGAGGAGGGTTGTGTCCCTGTGCATCAGACTGCAAGCTGACCCCCTCCTGTGCACAGGAAGTGCCTCTCCCCCTGCCCCCTTGGGGAGTCACTGGGCTTCGGGAGTTGGAAAGATGTTTCACTTCTTCCTAGGCAAAAGATGTCTTTCTTGACAGCACTTGAGGCATTCTGCCAGATGTCTTGTTCCAATGAGCAGATGCAGCATGTTGAACTTCAGAATGATTTGTGGAAAACTGAGGACTCATTCTGATTTGTGGTTTGCCACCTAAATAAGTACAAAGGATTATTGTCTTACTCTCAGCTTAAGGCAGAATGCAAAGACGATTTCTGAGGAACATAAAGATAGTTTTTTTTAAGAGACAGAGTCTCATTTTGTTGCCCTTGGTAGAGTACTGTGGCGTCACAGCTCACAGCAGCCTCCAACTCCTGGCCTTATGCAATTCTCCTGCCTCAGCCTCCCGAGTAGCTGGGACCACAGGCGCCTGCCACAATGCCTGGCTATTTTTTTGTTGCAGTTTGGCCTGGGCCAGGTTTGAACCCACTACCCTCGGTTTATGTGGCCGACACCCTACTCACTGAGCCACAGGCAATGCCTTGTAAAGATAATTTTTTTAAAAAATGGTCTCAACTATTCACAGATGTTCCTGTTTATCTTACTGTTTACTTTTTTATTTCTAAAAAAATCTATAGGCGTGGAAAATGTTACTATCCAACTGGATTTGGAAGCAGAATTCCACTTTACTCATCTCATAATGACTTTCAAGGTAAGAAATCCCTAATTTTCTCATGAATGACACAGGAGAGCACAGTGTGATTTGCCCATTTCAAAGCATATGTCTGTTGTGAATTGCCCTAAATGAGAACTTAAATATTGTTGCCATAAATTGAGCTAAGTTAAACATGGGCATGAATTACTACATTTAACAAATACTCTATCTTCATGGCAATAGGTAGAGAAGAGCCTCTGTTCTAAGGTAATTCAACTGTAAACTTTTAATTGGGTATCTTTTTATTTCCCAGAGAGTGAGACAGTGTTGACTCTCTCCCAAACCACAATAAAACATCTGGCGAGTAAATCCCTGATCCCTTGTGTTTATGTTTTAATGCTGAGTTGGGTAACTGAAAAGGAAGCATATTATCTTGGGTTTTCAGAGTTCTGCAGTATTTGTGGGAATGGTTTCACAGTTTCTTGAGTAATGTGGATGCCTTCTTCAATGTGGGTTTTCTCATTTTTTTCTTTTAGAGATGTAAAATGACTCCAGGACTAGGGAATGTCTCCATACAAAGTCCCTTTGTTTCTTCTTAAGCAGCTGCCTGGAAATAACAGACTTCCCATGGCTTAAAGTACATGTTGGCGCACATAAAACCCATAATTTACTTATTTTCTCAGATTAAAATCACTTTTGAATAGTTTTCAGTTGGGTTGGGGGCCTTATCTGTACCCTCTCAGTTTAGGAAAAGGTGCCAGGGATAGATTTACCATGTAGACAGGTAGCCATGAAAGTCTCACTTGTGTCTGCCACCAAAGCCTGGGAGGCCATGGGGCAAAGGTGGGTGTGGGGTCAGGATGTGACCAGGAGGGACACTGGGCCATGTGGTTCCCAGGCCTGAGCTATTTGTCCTAGGCCCAGGGGCAGGGAGGTGTACAATGGGACTGCAACACCTGATATTGAGCAGGCTGGGAGGGCTTTCACTAAGTAACTTGGCAGTCATTCTTTGTCACCAGCCCCTGTCCCTCCACTGGCACATGTTGAACCTGGTGGTTAATTTGATACTCATCCACACATGAGGATGTTTCCTTTATGTCATGTGACACCTGAAAATATGCAAAATCACCTGATTAATGTTCATGGTCCTCTGTTTGGCTTTGGAGAGGGCATCTGATCACATACCTACATAGTTTGAAGTTTGTTTATATCCAGAATTCTTTGGGGCACATAGTCTGTGGTTGAACACTCATTAAGTAAATGCAGTGGGCAAAGATCAGCTTCCTCATGTGAGTAAGAGCAGAAGGTCCAACAGAAGAGGTGGGGACTGTGCTGAGACCTAAAGAATGGTACAGGTTATCAGACGAGTTTCTGGAGGAAACTCATCCTTTAGGTCTGGCTCCTGTGAGAAAAGCAACATCTCTGGGCTTGGGTGGACTTGGATGTGAATCTCTGTAACCCTTTCTGGCAGTCATGGCCAGAGCTTTGGCTTTCCCATGTGAAAGGAAGTCAAACAGGAGGAGGAATAATCCTGCATAAGAGGACTGTGATGTGCCCCTCAGTTCTGGGCATAGGGATGATCTTGCTGCCCTGGTGTATAGTAGGAACTAATTTTTTTTTTTTTTTTTTTTTTTTAGAGACAGAGTTTCACTTTGTTGCCCTTGGTAGAGTGCCATGCCATCACAGGTCATAGCAACCTCCAGTTCTTGGGCTTAGGCAATTCTCTTGCCTCAGCCTCCCAAGTAGCTGGGACTACAGGCGCCTGCCACAACACCCAGCTGTTTTTTTGTTGCAGTTTGGCTGTGGCCAGGTTTGAACCCGCCACCCTTGGTATATGGGGATGCCACCCTACTCACTGAGCCATAGGCGCTATCCAGTGGAAACTAATTTTACAAATGCTGATTCTTGGCTTGTAGTAATTGAGCTACAGACATTTACTCATTTGAGTAAGTGAACAAAAGAATTCAACCATCTTCTGTTTTCAAGAAACGGTCCTACACTCTATGGGATATTTTAAAGATAGCATAGTGACTGCACTCTGGGGGCTTCCAGTCTTCTCAGGGAGAAAGATAACCTTGCAGATACCCTGTACCACATGACAGAATGTGCTAACTGCCACAGGAGAAGTTCAGACACTGTGCCAGCATGAAGGAGGGAGAGATTAAGTTCAGCCTGGGACAAAGGAGAAGGCTTCACAAGGAAAGGACTTGGAACTGTACTTGACCTAGGCCAGAAAGGTTGAGCAGTATGTCAGATGGCAGTGGGAGGAAATGGAAGAAAACTCATCCAGGGTGGAGCAAACTGAGACAAAGGTTTGGTAGGGAACAGACTTGGTTCAACAAGTAGTATGCGGCTTGGAGCCTGTGTCTCAACTGGCTAAGGCACCAGCCACGTACACCTGAGCTGGTGGATTCAAATCCAGCCTTTGGGCCCGCCAAACTGCAATGCCAGCTGCAATCAAAACACAGCTGGACGTTGTGGCAGGTGCCTATATAGTCCCAGTTGCATGGGAGGTGGAGGCAGGAGAATCACTTGAGCCCAGGAACTGGAGGTTTCTGTGAGCTGTGATGCCACAGCACTCTACCCAGGGCGACAGCTTGAGGCTCTGTCTCAAAAAACAAAAAACAAAAAACAAATAGTATGTAGATGTGCCTCCGGTTTGGAGTAGTGAGGGAGCAGAAAAGGGAAGTAAAAGCAGATTAGACTCAAAGACCCTGATTCCTTGCTGAGAAGTGTGAACTCTATAAGCCACGGAGCTATTGACATGAATATGGGCCCTGTCTTTCAGGAATTAGCCCAGGAGGAAAGGCAAAGGAAGGGAGGGGAGGCAAGAAGAGGGGGCAGATTGGGAGGCTCTTACTGAGGTCAGCATCCCTGGGGGTGATGTTAATGGAAACACTGGCTGTGAGTGCTGTGTTACTTGGAAACCTTTTTCAAGTTCATAGTATCCTTTTGCTCCATACTCCTGTACCCTCTGCTGCTCCTGCCTCTGAGAATTATTGTCAAGGGCAGTCACTTGCGTCCTTTAGAATCAAAGGTTGAACCATGAAGTGGTGGGAAGGCTAGAAGTGGAACAATGGAAGGAAAGGGCTGAATCAAAAATTACTTACAGTTCAAACTAAGTAGCTGGGAAGATGGTGAGACCACAGACAGTAGTGAAGTCAGGAAAGGACGGAGGTTGGGGACGATGACCAGCCCTTGTTTCTTCCTTGCCGGGTTGGCCGGGGAGATGGCTGATTGCTGAGTGGAGGTGGACTACCAAACACTCACCTCACATATATGCAGGTTATTTTTTTAAATAGCTGGATGATCTGGAACTCCTAGCTCTTCTGTTCATTAGATATCCGGAGGCAACTCTGCAGCAATGTGGAGAACGTTGATGACAAAGCAAAGAACATGGAGAAGTTTCTGTTCTTAGGTGAAATGTGTTGCTCTGGTTTCCAGCAGCTTCTTAACTCCACAGGAAATTGGATGACTTGTCAGGGTCTTTTGGGACTTAGAAGTTTCCAGAGGGGTGAGAGAAAGACGCACAGCCAGGACTGGCTTCATGCTTTTTCTCTCTGCTCTCTTGATGGGACTTGCTATTCTCAGGCATCCCCGGGTCCCGCGAGCCAGGACTCTGGGCTTATGGGGAGCTTGCCCTGCTTCTTGGCACACATGGTTCAGTTACTCATTGAATTTTTTTCAATTAATTTCCTTTAATTTACAATTCTTAGTCTAATATTCTCTTGAGTTTAATACGGTATTGTTTTCATGTATTCCAGGATAGGTGAAAAATAAGAAGCCGAGCAGCTAGTGATGAGTAAGTCAGAGAATCTGTCGAAGTATAACCTTCTATTTTCTTACCCTTGACTTTTTTTTATCAGAGAAAAAAAGCCAGCGGGATTATTAGGGGAAGACAGAAGGAGGTCTTGGCATATTTCTAGTTTTCACCCTTAGCTCTCACCCAAATTTCTGTCAGGCATTGCTTTGAATTCAGAAGCCAGTGCTTCTATTTAGATTCTGTTTTCTAGGTCAGCTTAACTTTCCTTTCATCTCCGTCCATTGTTATCTTCCTTCGACTTCCCCAAATACTCTCCCTGTGCTTGCCAGTGTGGAAACCTTCGCCTGCTTGCCTGTTCTCGGTGCTCATTTGGCAGCATCTCTCACTTCCACTTGACCCTGTTCCCCACACCCTCCTAAGTCTCCATCCTCCCCCGGCTTGGGGGTCCTTTTTCAGTTTCTTCTTTGACACCCATTTTTCAGTCTTCTACTGTGCTGTTAGCCAGTGAGGGAGGAAGGCAGGTTTGGTCTTATTCAGCATGGATTTCAGTCTAAGTTCTGCCTATGACTAGCGTGTCAATTACTTCTGAGCCTCATTTTCCTCATCTGTGAGACAAATGGGTTGCCAGGGTGTATTAGTTTCCCAGGCCTATGATAGCAAAGTGTCACAGACTTGGGTGCTTAAACAACAGAAATCCATTTCTCCCATTTCCAGAGCCCGAGATCCAGGTGCCAGTGGGTTTTGTGGAAGCCGCTCTCCTTGGCTAGTGGACAACTGTCTTCTCTCTGCATCTTCACAGGCTCTTCCTTCTACACCTGTGTTTTGTCCCGATCTCTTATTCTAATAAGGACACTAGTCATATCGAATTAAAGCCTACTCTCATGGCCTTGTTTTACCTGAATTACCTCTTTAAAGACCCAGTCTCAACATACAGTCACATTCCAAAGTATGGACTTAGGTCTTTAATATGTGAATTTTGCAGAAACACAAATCCCCGCCATAATAGAGGGTTCAGTGAAATAATGTACTTAGTGTTAATGGCTCCACTCTGTTTTCCTTCTCTGTCTAAATACATCTTCCTGGAAAACAGAGTTTGGTTCTCTGCATCTGGCCCTTTGCTTTTTTTTTTCTTTTGAGACATCACAAACCTGGAGATTTCAGATACTGTGTTTCTGTGTTGCCTCCCACCTTCATGGTTCAAGCTCCATTCTTGCAGCTGAGGGCTGGACCACTGTTTCTGATTGTCACTGGTGTCTCCACGTGGACACCACACATGTGCCTAGCCCACAGCTAAATGCCTTCACTCCTCCATGTCTTTGTCCTGGGCCACATCCACCCAGCTGCCCAAGTGCAGGCTCCTGTGTTCCTTTCTTGTACCTCGCTTTCCCCTGGAATCTGATCGATCACCAAGGGGAATTCAGTGTGTTCTACCATCACTAAATTTTCAGAACAGTCAATTCCATCCATTTCTCTCTATCCATGTTATGTTTGTTGAGTTAAAGCCTTCATTTTTTTTTTCTTGCACTTGGTTTCCCTGTATCTTGTATTGTTTATGTGCAGTAACTCTGCTCCAGAGTTATTTCTGTTCTTTTCTTTTTTTTTTTTTTTGAGATAGAGCCTCAAGCTGTACCCCTGGGTAGAGTGCTGTGGCATCACAGCTCACAGCAACCTCTAACTCCTGGGCTCAAATGAGTCTCCTGCCTCCGCCTCCCAAGTAGCTGGGACCACAGGCACCCGCCACAACACCTGGCGATTTTTTTTGGTTGCAGCCATCATTGTTGTTTGGCGGGCCTGGGCTAGATTCGAACCTGCCACCTTAGATGTATATGGCTGGTGCCTTAGCCACTTGAGCCACAGACACCGAGCCCAGAGTTATTTCTCTAACCTGCAATCTCATCACTTCATTCTGTCCACTTAAATTTTCTGAAGCTCCTTTTTGATTGCAAAAAGGTAAACACCTTCCTACTGTGTGCCAATTAACCCCTTCTGCCATGTGCAGACGCCTGAACCCCCCTCTGCCTGGAAGACACCTTGTTACTCACTGAGGATCCAGTTTGACGTCATCTCTGTGAAATAACTCCTACCTCTTTTTTTCTTGGTTGTAAGATATGCATAACATAAAATCTACCATTTAAGCATTTTTAAGCGTACAATTCAGTGGTGTTAGGTTTATTCACAATGTTCGGCAACCATTATCACTATTTCTAGAACTTTTCATCACCCCAAACAAATTCTATAGCCCTTAAGCAGTAACTCCCCATTTCCCTCTGCCCAGCCTCCAGTCACGTCTACTGTACTTTCTGTCTCTATCTACTTAGCTATTTTAGGTAGTTCATGTAAGTGGAATCATACAATGCCTATCTTTTGGGGCAGGGAGCTAAGGCAGAAGGATCACTTGAGCCCTCAAGTTTAAGGCTGTAGTGAGCTGTGATCATTCCATTGCACTCCAGGCTGGGCAACAGAAGACCCCATCTCTAAAAATAAAAAAATTTGTCCTTTGGTGTGACTTATTTTACTTAGCATAATCAGGGTTCATCCATGTTGTAGCATATATGAGTGTTTCTTTATTCCTTTTTACAGCTGAATAATAATTTATTGTACAGTCACAGTTTGTTTATCTATTCGTAGTTCATGGGCACTGGGATTCTTTCCTTCTTTTGGCTATTGCAGTAGTGCTTCTGTGAGTATTCATGTCAAGGGTCTATTCGAGGTCCTAAATTCAGTTATTTTGGGTATAACCTAGCCGTGGAGTTGCTGGATTCTCATTTCCTTAGTAATGATCCCTTCCTCTTCTTATCCCAAAGTACACTGCTCTGCTTTACACCCCTGTCTGTACTCCCTGGACTGTACGTCATTTACTTGTCTCTACAGATGGCTTATAGGCTGCAGGCTGGTACTGAGTAGGTTGTCATTACACAGATCTATTGAATACTAAATGGACAAATGAAAGAACAAGCACTCAGACTGGTCAGTCCTTTGTGGGCTGGGGACTAAGTATAACCAAGCATGTTTGCTATTAAGGCCTGTTTGTAATCAGCTTCTAAAGAAAAACAGTTTAATAATCTAGTAGGGTGGGGAAAAGTGAAAAATTTAGAGACTAGATACTTTCCTTGCAAGAAGAGGCTCCATGGAATAGTCTGACATACTTGAAATATCACCATTCTGAAATTCCAACCACATGCAGGCAAGGTTTGTGGCCCACAGCTGAGTGGCATTTTCACCTGAGGTTTTAAAAAAGGCAGATTGCCAATAAGAAACATCAAATGAGACCTTTGTTGTCTGCCTTTAGACATTCCGTCCAGCTGCGATGCTGATAGAACGATCGTCCGACTTTGGGAAGACCTGGGGCGTGTACAGATACTTTGCCTATGACTGCGAGAGCTCGTTTCCCGGCATTTCAACTGGCCCCATGAAAAAAGTTGATGATATAATTTGTGATTCTCGATATTCTGACATTGAACCCTCAACCGAAGGAGAGGTTTGTTCACTTGTTTCATTTTCTACTTGCAGGTCTGCTTTTGGATCATTGCAAAAATACCAATTACTCTTTTATCCATTTTTTAGGTGATATTTCGTGCTTTAGATCCTGCTTTCAAAATAGAAGATCCTTATAGCCCAAGGATACAGAGTAAGCTTATTTTCAAGTAAAAGCTTTGATGGGAAACAGCAGTCACAGGATAAGTTTTACCCCGAGTGGTTTAGCACTGCTACTCAAATTTAACGTTCAAGGCTGAATTCACCATTGTCATTGTCCTCTTCCCTCTGTGGTATCTGACCAGGGGGTCTTAGAACTGGCAGTAATAAAAGGCCTCACTGATGGGGTATACGTTTTGATAACAGTAAAAGATTTGTATAGTTAAGTACTCAAACAATTATGTTAATCATAGTGTCTTATTTATTTTCTTGCTGACTATGTTACGGTATAGATTAAGCTATTGGAACAAAGTCTTCCAAAAAATACAGTTGCTTGACTAAGATACACATTTTCCATTATGAAATCAACAAGAGGGATTTCCAGAGAAAAAAATGTAGCTCAGTTGCCATAACTAGGCTTACCAAGTAAAATACAAGGTGATGCCCAGTTAAATTTGAATTTTAGGTAAATAGTGAATTCCCATACAATATTTGTGGTTGATATAATTATGACCTCTAAACCACTCTGATATTTGGGACATACTTATACTGAAAAATAGTTACCTGCAGTTCCCACTTAACTGAACGTCCTTTATATGTGTGTACTAAATCTGGCAACCCTAGGGTTAAGGCCACTCATGTTCCTAGGTTCATCCACATTAGCCCACCACTGCCATATTCTCATCCCCCCCCAGTGGGGGAGGAGGAAGTAGTGGGCGCTAGAATTCCATCTAAAGATGAGACTGTACTCATCACTTCCGCTCGCTCCCCATTGGCCAAAATTAGTCACATGGCTATACTGCAAAAGACACTAGGAAAGATTCTCTAGCTGGTGGCCACGTGCTCTGTAGAACTCTGGGCTAAAGTGCTCCCTGTCAGAAGAAGAAAGAGAATACTGAGGGAAATCCGAAGTCTTGCATGGTAAGTATACTCAAGAAGGTGAGGGCTGTATGTCCTTCAATAGATGAATGAAGTGAGGCTCAGAGTTGGGCTGTGTCACTATATTAAGTGATATGTGGCTGTTAAGTCAGATCTGGCATCCGTGTGTTATGATGCTCAGCTCAGAGCCCTTTACCATGGTCAACAACTATTCTCATCATTAGACAATTCCATGTTGCTCTTCTTGGGAGGTAGAATGTACAGTAATTTAAAAAATGGACTCTAGAGTCAGATTGAGCTGGATTTAGATCCCAGTTCTATCCTATTGTAGCCATGTGACCTGGGCAAGTAATTTACTTAAAACTTTTTTTTTTTGCCTCTTTTTTCATCTGTAAACACAGATAGTAATATTGACCTTAGACTTGTTATGGAGGTGGTTGTGGATGTGTGTAAATGGGCGACCAAAATGCCTGACACAGAGACAGCGTTCAGTAAACTGAAGACGCCGCTACTATTGTTGCTGTAGCCATTGGCCATGGTTTGGGTCTTGGTGTAGAACTGGTCCCGAATGTCAGAGTGAGGCTAACTCCTCTGCTACTAAGGTGCAGTCGGTGGAGTAGAGGCAGGGCTGATTTTCACTGATCTTCCCCAGCTGCATAGGGCCCTATTTTTAACCAAGGCCCGTTGGAACTTCTAAGCTTGAAGCAAGGAAGAACAGAATGGAAGAAGTCCAGGGAAGATGGCCAGAAAAGTGTTTCTTCCCCAATTAAATTAATTTTACTTGTCGCCCAGGCTGTCTCTGGTCCATAACTTATTCATTCTATTGTAAAACAAATATTTAATGGCACGTCCAGCTCTGTGTCAATTTCCGAGTAAGCTGTGAGGCCTTCCCTCTGTGTCTCAAATTCCAGTTGTGAAAAATGTGTGCCTGGGCTCCAAGACAAACACCCCGGAGTCCCTAAATGGACTCACCATCTGCTCCCCTATTAGTGAAATTTGTGGGACTTGGGGAATGTGTTGCCCTTCTAATTTTAACTCTCTTTTGTTGTTAACATGGCTTCTGTGTTATGGAAGCACCGCGTTAGCTGATGCTGCTTTTGATTTGCTCTGTAATCAAAGAAGCACTATCTCTTCATTTGTCCTTATGTTGAAACTCTGAGACTCACTTCAGAAGTGATTTGCCTCTTAGGACAAGGCAAAGACGAAGCTCAGCTGCTGTTAAATATGGCAAGAGAGAGTGGGCAGAGCCGATTAGCTCTACTTAGGGCTTCCACAAAGATCAGTTCAAGGGTTTCTAAATACTCCAGCTGCTCTTCAGGTTTGTTGTTTGGCCTCTCGTCAATAGGCGCTTGTGCTCATTCTGTGCGGGAGGATTTGTGCAGGAGGCGATGTTGGCATGCGTGACTGCCATTCAGCTAAGTAGTACCACAGTTCCTCTGTTGAGTTTTCAATTTTACAAAGAACCTAAGTTTAACACACGGACTTGCCCTTTCCACCCACAGCCATTTCTGTTGCTTCATTGTAAGCTCTGCATATATCATGAATATTTCAAATTGTATTGGGCCTTTGAAAGTATCAGATGCACTGGGCCACTCTCCTATTGTCTTGTGCTGTAAATTATGAGGATGCATCAGTATAAATGAAAATAAAGCATAAAGAACAGTTTTAGGCTACAGAGTTTGACAGCCCAGATGGACTAGTCAATCTCTTGGAATGTAGTTTAGCAGAACAATAGTAACTAATGAAAAGCCTGGTGGAGAAGGTTGAATTCCTCTTGGTTTATCCAGTTACCAAAGAATGTCATTGATAGCCCAGTGTTAAGTCTACAGACCTAAGAAGGAGAAGGAAAGAAAGTGATTTACAAGTAAATTGTATTTAGGAAAAAACAATTTGTCCCAGTACCCTAGGACTAAGGCCCTTTAGCCTCATGTAATTGTCCTATTGATAAGTGTGGAAATGTTTGGTAAAAAAAGCGGTAGACCAAAATGTTGCTTAAAAACTTGAGATAGTCTTTCCTTGGGTTCTGGTTATGCTATAGTGTTAAATCTGTTTTGGTCACGTGGGAGGCATTAAGTGGTGGGAAATTTCAGATAGTATTTTCCCTTCCAGAAATAGACACAAATATGTTCCTGTCTTAACAATGAGAATTTAAGTGCCTTAGTAAATCTTTTCCCACCTGAATGGAATTGTCTGATTTTGAGACCAACACTAAGTGCTGTGGAAACCAGATGGTATTACAATACTTTATATTACCGTGTGCCAGTGGGTTCTGGCAATCAAGCAACTGCATTCTCACAATTTCTTCATTTTTACACTGCTTTCTGAAAAGTTGGACTGCGAACAGATCCATCACAGAAATAAGACATTTGTATTAAACTGACGAGAATGTAGTAACCCTTCTTCCAGGCACTGTCATATTACATTAGGCTTTCCTAGTAGAGTCATCTAGATCAGACGGCGTGGGGGAGGGACTTTACTTAAGCTGTTTTTATTTGTCATGCCTTTCTCTAAAGAGAAATGATGTAAAAAGAAAAAAAATAAATTATTGTTTGTGTTTGATCAGACTTTTCATCTTTTTGGTGACCTTCCTAGATCTATTAAAAATCACCAACTTGAGGATCAAGTTTGTAAAACTGCATACTTTGGGAGATAACCTTTTGGATTCCAGAATGGAAATCAGAGAAAAGTACTATTATGCAGTTTACGATATGGTGGTTCGAGGAAACTGTTTCTGCTATGGCCATGCCAGCGAATGTGCCCCCGTGGATGGAGTCAGTGAAGAAGTTGAAGGAATGGTAAGCCAGCTCTTTATGTGGGTTTCTCCTTTTATACAGGTGATTCTACTGGAAGCTGGTCTTCCTTTAAGCCCTTCCCATTGTCCGAGAGGTGGTAGTTTTCCAGATTTAACATTCATCCTTTGCACTGTGTTGGTGGTTGATTGCTGACTTTTTCTTTGAAGAGTTTGTTGGACTATGAGAATGTACAGACTGCTCATTCCACAGACAATGGATTAATTTTTGGAATTTGTGACTGCAGGCTATTGCTAACGTAGATATTTTAATCAGCAAGGATTAAAAAGTTGTCTAAGTAACAATTGAGCCCGCCTTTTCATTAGGGAAGATTAAAAACCATAAACATTCCTTTTTATGCTAATGGTCAAAATTATCTCAGCCCACGGAAACTGGGAAAACCCCGCCCCATGGGATGTTTTAGGGATCAAAATGGAGTTTGTTTCTATCTTTGCCTTCTAATTTCATTCTTTTCCACTTTGATGCCATGTTTGCAAATTATATCTGTTTTAGAATTTGGGATTTGAGTGATTTGCCAGATAGGGGAGGTTAACATATTCTACCAATTTCTAGCAGACCTCTTACAGACCCAGAGGATTTTAAAGCCACATAGGGCTTGCAGAGATCTCCTAAAACAACTATCCCTGGTAGAAGAAACCAGGGATTAAGTAATTTGCTAATGAGCCCTAAGTAAGTGAACAGCAGGTAGGAATTCAAATCTCTGGGTTCCTTCCTCAAGCTGTGGGCCCCCCTTCTTGATGAAGGGTGTGCCTCACTTTCTGTTGCCTTTCCAAGGATTGTTAGTCCTTGTCAAAGAAAGTGTAGGACTGCGTGTCTTCAGTTCTTCTAAAACTAAGGCCTTCTCTTCACTCCAGTTAAAACTTTTACTGCATAATAAACAAAGTTGAATTTTTAGCAGAGCCCATAGGGAGATGAGTGTTTCTTTAAATCTTACTGGTAAATCTTCCAGGGAGTGCTAGGTAGATTGTATTTCATTTAGCATGTAACAAATCTGCTGTGTAGCTAAAGTCTTGTCATTGTCATGGGTCTCACAGTACATACAGTTTGTCCCCATACGACTTGTGGTATGTGTTTGGAACCGGGTATCAGTTTATGTAAAACCACCAGGTACTGAGACGGTGTCAGTCTTATGCTGACTGTACTTCTGTGAGGCTGGGTCCAGGATGGACCCATTCCTGGAATTCCATTCCATAGAAACTAGTATAAGCCCATGTGCATACACGTTTGGACTGAAGAACTGTAATTTATTCAGCATTTATATGCCCCAGGGGTCTTCTGTGTGCCTAAGAGTGACAAGGCAAAATAGTGCCATCATGGGCCCTTCATCAAAGAAATTAATTTGTATCTTTTTCTGAGATTTTTTAAAATTTCCTTGCTTAGTAGGAGAAAAATCAGTGTGGTAAATGGTTACCTTTTAAAGTTTTATTTTCATGGAAAAAATATATAAGTGCTATGCCTGAAGTAAAAAACAAAATAAGATAAACAAACAAAAACCTTTTAAGAGAAATGGTTTTCTGGGCTGGTGGTAAAATTTGCAGCATTATGAGTTGGTTTTCAGGTTAAGTACATGCATTTACGTAGTGTTTCTGCATTATAACTTTTGTACTTTTCTATTACAGTAGACTTTTTTAAACTCTTTTTCTTAAGTAACTAATTTTGTTCATCTGGGTTCTTTTCTTTTTGAGACAGAGTCTCTGTTGCCCAGGCTAGAGTGTGTTGGTGCCCGTGTAGCTTCTTACTGCAGCCTCGAACTTCTGGGCTCAAGCAGTTACTTCCACCACCTCAGCCTCCCAAGTAGTTAGGACTACAGACTTGGGCCACCACACCCAGCTGATTTTTTTTTTTTTTTTTGGAGACAGAGTCTTACTTCGTCACTCTTGGTAGAGTGCCATGGCATCGTAGCTCATGGCAACCTCAAACTCTTGGGCTCACGTGAATCTCTTGCCTCAGCCCCCCAAGTAGCTGAAACTACAGGCACCCACCACAATACCCAGCTATTTGTAGAGACAGGCTCTTGCTCAGGCTGGTCTTGAACTCCTGATTTCAAGTGATCCACCTACCTTGGCCTCACAGAGTGTTAGAATTACAGGTGTGAGCCACTGTGCCCAGCCTATACACCCAGCTAATTAAAAAAAAAAAAAATTTTTTTTGGTTGCAGTTTTTGGCCGGGTTTGAACCTGCCACCTCTGGTATATGGGGCCGGTGCCCCACTCCTTGAGCCACAGATGTTGCCCTAAAAAAAAAAAATTGTTTTTAGAGATGGGGATCTTGCTATGTTGCCCAGGCTGGTCTTGAACTCCTGGCTTGAAGTTATCTTCTCTCCTTGGTCTCTCAAAGTGCTGGGACTGCAGATGTGAGCCACCATGCCCAGCCATGGGTTCTTCTCATAGCCACTCAATGAAATATTTATTGCACATCCCTTATATAATAGAAAGTATTCTAGAGTTGGGCCAAGAGCAATCAACAGCATAGAATGCCTGGAGGGAGGGAGACGATAACAGCAAACAAAGACCCCCTCTCTGTGGTGAGTTAGAAATTGGTATGAAAAAGGGTTTTATATTTTCAATTGACTGTGGAGAAAAACTGACCATTAGTGTGTCTCTTACTTTGCTCTTCCCTGCTTTTATGACTTTCAAGGTACATGGACATTGCATGTGCAGGCATAATACCAAGGGCTTAAACTGTGAACTGTGCATGGATTTCTACCATGATTTACCCTGGAGACCTGCCGAAGGTCGAAATAGCAACGCCTGTAAAAGTAAGTCTCTTTCAAAGGGATGTCTTGAATCACTTAAGACTCCAGTATCCATTTTCTGATTAGAGGTACTGTAATACTATGTTATTTTCCAGAGGAAAGAAAAGTTACTCATATTACCTCTTTCCCAACTTCGCCCTGGTACTTATAGGAGACCAACATTATCTGTTCGATTAAATTAATACACTAATATCCCCTGAGCAACACCTGTGTGTCTGGCACTGACCTGTGTAGTTTGGCCGTGATAGTAAAAGCCTAAGATGTTGTCTCTGACCTTGTACTTGTTTTGAAGATAAGATGACCATGACAGAAAATGGAGGAAACATATGGTGTAGTAGTTCCTTAAGGTCTGAGATATGGAGGAGAGTTTTCGGCCTAGTTTCTGTGCCAGCCCAGCTGCAGTCTCTGGCACACCTCCATCCAACTCTGTCCCAGGGGTGTTCTTCAGGCAGAGACGTGGTCTAAAACGCCAGCGCCCCTCCCCGCTCCACACACAGTGATTCTGGCCTGCATCCCCATCCTCTCCTTCACAAATGTGCCTGCCTCTGCCCCACTGAGAAGGATTGTTCCAGAGCTTCAGAAACCAGTGAGAGCTGGAGTGGGCAAGGCTTTGTTAGTAAGGAGAACACAGCTGGCCCTGAGTGAATACTTAACAGTTGCTTAGGTCAGAAAAAAAGAAGGAGGGGGGGAATTCAGATAAAGAGCAGAACAGGAAGTGTAAGGCTACAAGGACATTCCTGAGACCACCGCACACTCTCTGGCAGGGGAGTACTTCTGAGGTTTAATTCAGCCAGTGTATTGAGAGCAGTATTTGCTGGGCACAGAGGACCTATCAGTGCCCAGTCCCTCTCTGCATGGTGCTCGGTTGCCATGGGGAGACAGACAAGGTGGCTAGAGTGTGGAGCCGTCAGAGGGCCAGGCTGAGTCAGCTGCGTGGTGAGAAGACAAGAGGAACTGGTGTGGATTGCGGAGCCTGAGAGTGAGATGCGCAAAGCTGGGTTGCACCAAGATGACTCTGCCAAATGGGCTGGTGGAGGGAAGTTCTGCCTCCAAGGAGACCAGCTAGATGGCTGCGAAATAGACCTGAGTCCTTACTGCAGACCCTGTCCTGGTGTGGATGGAGAGGAGGAGTCAGTCCATCATGCCATGTTCCTTGAGGCAGGGAGCCCAAATAGGCTTTCCTAGGAACTTCTCTCCCAAAGGTACTTCGGCTCAGTGTCCTTCCATCCTGTCCCACGACTGGGACCTGAAAGCATCCTTGATGGAATGGCAGTGTTCTCTCTATGATAAAACTTCCGAGAGGACTTCCCCCTGGGGTTTTCCACTCTTGATAGCCCATTCTCTTTCAAAGAGGGCAGATAACTGTATCCATTTCATAAAGATCACATCGTTGTTTCCAGCCTGCTTTAGGTGGATGTGTACTTTTTCAGCAGGAATGCCTTCACATCGACTGCCATTTTGCCTGAACTTAGTCCCTGATTCCCTAAATGAGCTTCCTTCCTGCCACTCCCATCCTCCATTGGTCTATAGATTTACAAGGCTTTTCTTGACATTGGTCTTGTCTTGCAGAGTGTAACTGCAATGAACATTCCAGCTCATGCCACTTCGACATGGCCGTCTACCTGGCCACTGGGAACGTCAGCGGGGGCGTGTGTGATGACTGTCAGCACAACACCATGGGGCGCAGCTGTGAGCTGTGCAAACCCTTTTACTACCAGCACCCAGAGAGGGACATCCGAGATCCTAATGTCTGTGAACGTATGTCACCCTGTGGGACCTGCTCAAAGTTGCCTTTCATGTTGAATAGTTTGTAGTAAAACCCTTCCCTGAGAGCTCAGAGTATGAGGAGCAGAACCAGCACTGTTTTTTGTTGTTTTTTTAAAATTAAATCATAGCTGTGTACACTAATGCAGTCATGGGGTACACTGTGCTGGTTTTATATACAATTTGAAATATTTTCATCAAATTGGTTAACATAGCCTTTATGGCATCTTCTTAGTTATTGTGCTAAGACATTTATATTCTACATTTAGTAAGTTTCACATGTACCCTTGTAAGATGCACCGTAGGTATGGTGCACTGGGGTTTTAATTGCCATCTGAGACTCTGGGAGAGGAATCTGCTTGGTAGTCAAGCTGCCTTTAGTCTATTTTTGTAAGATTCAGAGGGATGAAGGGAACATATGTATTTATGCAAAGATACATTGGTTTTCCTGCTGCTTTTAACATGCTGCTTTTCCTTTTTCTTAGCATGCACATGTGACCCGGCTGGTTCTCAGAATGAGGGAATTTGTGATAGTTATACTGATTTTTCTGCCGGTCTCATTGCTGGGCAGTGTCGGTGTAAGTTATACGTGGAAGGAGAACATTGTGATGTGTGCAAAGAAGGCTTCTATGGCTTAAGTGCTGAGGATCCGTTTGGTTGTAAATGTAAGTCTGTTGGCTAAAAAGCTTGGGAGTTCTGCTGTGTGCATAAGTCTTATCTTCCTTTGTGATTCTAAAGCCACACCACTACTTTGGACTCACTTGGGTTTTGTTTCTTTATTTTGTCTTTAATAAAGCTTGTGCTTGTAATCCTCTGGGAACAATTCCTGGTGGAAATCCTTGTGATTCTGAGACAGGACATTGCTACTGCAAGCGTCTGGTGATGGGACAACATTGTGACCAGTGTCTGGTAGGTAAATCTTCATTATGTGGGATGGATAGTTTGAGTGTGAACTTTTATTTTTTTTCTTTTTTAGAGAAGAGGTCTTGCTGTGTCACCCAGGCTGGAGTGCAGAGGAGTGATCACAGCTCACTGTAGTCGGGAACATCTGGCCTCAAATGACCCTCCTGCCTGAACCTCCCATGCAGCTGGAACTATAAGGATGTGCCCCTACAGCTGTCTAATTTTAATTTTTTTGTAGAGATGGGGTCTTGATAAGTTGTTCAGGCTGGCCTCAAAACACTCCTCCTTAGGCCTCCCTCCTAAAGTGCTAGGATTACCGGCATGAGCCACAGCACCAAGCCTGAGGGTAACATTTTTTAAAGGAGAAATTTTTTTACTGTTACAGATTTTACCATCACCTTTATGTATAAATGACGAAAGACCCGAGTAGACAATTCACAAAATAGCAATTACTAATGAAAAATTCCACAAGATGTTCACCATCATTGTAAAATAAGAGACCAGCCTGAGCAAGAGTGAGACCCCATCTCTACAAAAAATGGAAAAACTGAAGCAGGAGGATTGCTTGAGCCCAAGAGCTTGAGGTTGCTGTGAGCTATGATGCCATAGCTGTCTATTCAGGGTGCCAGATTGAGACTGCTCCCCCCCACAAAAAAAGCCAAACCAAAAAACCTGGAAAATGAAACCACATTGAAGTACACTTTTATAGACAAAATTAACAAAAACTTTTAAAAATGGGAATTCTTAGTATTAGTGAGGATATAATGAGGTGCTGGTGGAAATGCAAATTGGTTTATGCTTTGTGAATAGCACCTCAGAGATCCGTATCAGTAACCTGTCGGAATCTCCATACCCTTTGACCTAGTAATCCCACTCCTGGGAATCTATCCTAACGAAGTAATCAGATAACTAGACAAAGATGCATTCACCACAAGGCTCATTGCATCTGTTA